ACAAAGTAGGTTTTCGCCAAATTCCTTTATATTACAATTAAAGATGCGCAAAAATTTTGGAAAAAAGTAAACACATTGATAAATCAGATATATTGTATACTCTTTCGAATTAGCAAGTGATTGGTAACAATAATTAATTGTTGATTTTAAAATTTTTTAAACCCATCTTTGTACAAAGTAGGTTTTCGCCAAATTCCTTTATATTACAATTAAAGATGCGCAAAAATTTTGGAAAAAAGTAAACACATTTCTAATTGTTGATAAATCAGATATATTGTATACTCTTTCGAGTTAGCAAGTGATCGGTAACAATAATTAATTGTTGATTTTAAAATTTTTTAAAACCCATCTTTGTACAAAGTAGGTCTTCGCCAAATTCCTTTGTATTACAAATTTAAAAGATGCGCAAAAATTTTGGAAAAAAGAAACACATTTCTAATTGTTTAATAAATCAGATATATTGTATACTCTTTCGAGCTAGAAAGTGATTGGTAACAATAATTAATTGTTGATTTTAAAATTTTTTTAAAACTCATCTTTGTACAAAATAGGTTTTCGCCAAATTCCTTTATATTAACAAATTAAAAGATGCGCAAAAATTTTGACATTTCTAATTGTTTAATAAACAAGTAAAACAAATAATTCGAATAAACCCTTATTTGAGTAAAACCATGTTGGAAAACACTTTGGATGAAAACAAACACCATGACAATGCTTGTACTGACAAAAATGAAGAATATGGGGAATGTCTAATCTGCAAGAGATACACTGTGTCTCAAAAAAAAATGGTGGTTTGTAAAATATTAATTTTTATGAAAAAGTAGCCAAAATTATGTAATAAAAATTATACCAGAGAATCGGAAGATCTTAGATTATAAGATAGAAAAATTTAGAAGTATATTGTCATGTAGGATTTAGAGCAATCATTAAAGAAATTTACACATTTGGATGGTTTTTTCAAATAATCAAATTCCTTTTATTTTCAATTGACAAAAGTCTAGAAAATCTGGAAGTGTGAAACTTTATATACATAATCTCCAGAACTTTTGCTACAGACTGGTATAATTTTTTGCAGAATTAAGAGAATCCTTTCAAGCCCTTTGTAAGGAAACCCTTTTTCCTTACCTCAAAATACTATATAATTGTTTTAATTATTAAAAAAATACAAGTTATACAAGTTATCTTTATTAATTGCGGAAAGCTTATCTTTTATACAAAAATGCATAATAATGATATATTATTACAATTAAATAAATAAAAATAATATCTTAGAACTTCCCGGAAAGCAGCAGCACAATTTGTAACTCATATACATAAGAAACAAGAACTTCCCCAAGACCAGAACGTTTACTAAGAATCGACACATAAAAAACAATTACATTCCAAATAGCGTTCGTTGTGTTGTGAACAATTATTTGTTTGAGTGGAGGAATAAGAACAGGCACGGATTTGATAACGTAAAAATAAATGTTAATTTGATTCATGTTGTCAACAACCACTTCACTAACAGTTGTTTCGTTAACAAATGGTTCGAATTTAAGAACCAGGCGACAAACCTTTGAAATAGTCTAATAAATTAAATTGTACCACTCGAAAATGTATTTAAAGGGTTGGTTTTCAACTTGGTTGAAGAATAACTCTCTTCCTAACTCTTCTCTTGACCATATCTCGAGATATAACCAAAATAACTTTAATATAACGAATGTCAACATTTAAGATATACGATCAAGACAAAACATGAACGATGTATGAAAAAAATCAAACAAATTTATTTAATAAAAACAAAACTACAACCCAAAAAAATTTTTTTTGCATGTCTTAATAAAATTTCCCATTGTTGCTGCTGATTCAATGTTACCCAGATCATCATCAACTGTATTTTCGATATTTTTGATAAACTCATTTTCGTTTAATCTTTTCGTTATACTTTCTTTAGTGCGTTGACGTTTTTTTTTTGATTTCGACTTCAATATAGTCCAAGATATCAAACGTTTAGATTGGCTCCTTTGTAGACAATGATTGCGATAACCATGTCCACATGTGAGTATATATACACTACAATTATTCAAATTAGTATAGTAGATGGTTTCCTAGAAGTAACAAAGCCTCTTGGAAGGTGACGATCGGTTATTTCGTAACATCATAACTTCATAACCTCTTCAGAAAATGTCATTGCCAACGGCTAGGATTCTTCAGACAATTGATGTGTATGTCGAGTTTGATTGCTTGGTGAACTA